TATGCTAAGTCCTGGGCCAGATAGCACACAAAGACATGGGGAAAATCCCTATTTTCACAGAAGCTATGGTTTTGCCAGTTGAGCATTGTGTTTGTAAGTGGTAAGATGTGGAGGCAGTAGAGGACCTCAGCAGCCATCCTGCCAACCTCCTGATTTTACAGATGAGACTGTTGAGGTCATTCAGTGTCAAGTCAAGTGCCCAGAGTCACTTAGCTAGAAAAACAATAGGAACAAGAAGAACCCTTGCTCCACTCCCAATCCAGTGTTCCGTAAGATTTTTAGAGAAGCAGGGCAGTGCAGGGGTTAAGAGCACAGCTTTGGAGTCTGGAGGTGGTAGACTTCAGTCTTGGATTCACCACTTTCTTACTCTGTGACCTTTAATAAAGGGCTTAACGTCTCTACGATTTAGTTTTCTTATCTGTAAAATGGGGATATTACCTCATAGAGTTATTGAGGAAATTAAATAAGAAAATGTTTTAAGGTATTTCAGCATAGTTCCTGGAAAGGGAAGTGCTCAGTGATGAATAAATTAATAGTAGCTCTTTGTTTAGTGATACATTCTACGTCATTTGGACCCTAAGATCATTGGATTTTAGGGCTGAGAGGGACGGGCCCTTAGATCATCTAGTTTCGTCTTTTTGTTTTACAGATGAGAACACTAACGTCCCTGAGAAGTTAAGTGACTTAGATGAGACCCAGGGCTCCTCCACACAGAGCCCAGCTTGGTACCCAAGATTCCGAGCTCCTTAGGGCTATATTCTTTGTGACCTTGTGAAGTGAAGGAAGCCAAAAGTGTTGTTATGTAATTTTCATGAAACTACTTCTAGGAATGTTCTGGCATCTGGCATAAACCTACTTTCTATATAGATTGTTGCCATAGTTCTGATTTTTTTGTAACAGCGTTTAGAAATTAAGTCATATAATGGCTTAAGAGAAAGTGTTTATAATTTGATCATCTTAAATTCAAATTGATTACCTCTTTGAGGTTTCTGCAAGGAATCTATGGTTTTATCATTTTGTTAATTTTGCTTTCTTTTTTTTCTAAGACTCTGTCTTCCCTAATTTGGCTTGGTTTCCTCTCAAAATGATGCAAAATAAAGTTCTCCAGTCTTAGAAGTAAAAAGTATTTCTTTTAGTTTGGACTTTAGTTGTCTTCATTATTAAAATCTACATCTGTAGTGTTTCTATTATTTGAGGATTCATGTGCTTTCAGACTACAGATTATATAAAATCAATCCGTAGTCTCAAGGAAAATAGCAGGCTGATGTTTTTGCCTTGAGGCAATTAGAGAAAATATTACAGCCCCTCATCTCAAGAAGCACATGCTTTGACTACACTGTCCTGTAGCATTGTACTTCAGTTGGAAGACAACACAGGGCAAGATGTGACCAAGTGCTCAGTCATCAAGTCCACTTCAGTGCAGTGGGGATTCAGGAAAAGGAAATCGGGGAAACCTGCAAGAAGGAAAGGAATCTTGAGCTGGAAAGAAGTCTAGAATGTGCTATATCACAGCAGAGACAAGAAAGGCTGACTAGGACCAAGGAAGACAGGACTTTCTACCTGGGTGTGTCTGCCTGTGTATATGTATGGACGCGTATGTAGGTGATAGTTCAAAACTTAAGAAATCTTGCTACCTGCGTCTTTTCCAGGCTTTCCAGTTTTCTCATTTTCATATCTTCTCAGCAGCTAAGCACAGACCCTTGCATGGAATACTCAATAAAACTTCACCTGAATTAAATTAGATTTTTAGGGTAACAGTTCTCTGCCTACACACATACTCCTCCCCATCTGTGACTCGTGCTTCATCCATTTTGTTGCTGACATGAAAGCTGCATGTCCCTCTAGGTTGCTCTGTAGCCTAGGAGTGCAGGGAGCCATAAGTGGCCCTCCCTCCACCTGCAGGTCCCAGGTTGGGAGTGGCCTCATCACTAAGGTAAGGCCCGGTGCTCATACCCACTGAGCTGACAAGCCTCACCTCCCATCTATTTTTGCCCTTCTCTCCTTGCTTCTTTATCTACGTACATCATCTCCTAGGCAGTTTAACAAGTTATTAAAAGGCAAACATCAAATTCCCTTCTGAGTACTCTATTTTGGATGAGGGGTAGATTGGGGGAATTAGGTAGACTTCCCAGGGAGGTCTACCCATGTACATATAAGGAAAAGAAGATCATTAGCTCCCCTCCCCCCATAGACACTCTTCCAAAGCCAGAGATGTTCAAACACAGGTGTATTTAACTCCTGACAGGTGTATTTAATTAGCCCAAGTGTAAAACTAAATTTTAGCTGAAATAAAGTCTGGTTTGCAGATTCTAGGTAAAAATTCTTGCAGAGATCATTTTACTTATCGGCCTAGAAGAAGAACTAGTAGGCAGAACATTATACATAGTTAGCATTTATCAGCCTTAGTATCTAACATGCACAATGACCGTTGACAGTATTTGGAGAGTTGGGAAATATTTAAAAACTTGAGGATTTCTAGAGAAATTGGAATCCAGATTGCAAGTAGATAGAAGCATGTGTCTATTCCTATGTGTCTCTCACACATGCACACACCACATACACACTTCTTCCCTTAGGCTTATAGTGCAAAGACAGCAATTTAATTCTTAAATCTGAAGCATAACCAAGCCCTTTATGACAGGTACATATGAGCACCCATTTATTCCCTACTCCAATCCCTGAGTAGCATTAGAAAGTTAGAGCTATTCTGTTACCAGACTCATCAGAATTATTTCATTCTTTGGAACTTCATACCCTAGTGTCTAAATATTTAAGCTCATCTGGCTAAAAGAAAAAGTATTTTGTTTGTTTGTTTAATCCCAGCTCCTGCGTGGGCAGTTATTTTTAATTTGAAGAGTAGCATATCTTGGAGATCATTTAAAAGAATATATGACCAACTTTCTCATCCTGAAATTAATTAAGGAAGATCTTGAAGACATCTTTAGAAATAGGGCAAAGTTTCTGTATTGCTTTCTAATAACAAATATCAAATAAATTGGGTGTAAGAGTGACAAGACTTGAGATTCACTGAGTTAACAATGTATCTTATTAATGAAATTGTGTTACTTCACTAGTGAACTGTGTCAGGTAGGAATTAGGTGTAGATTTGCAGAATATGTAAAAGAATCATTTAGTTCACCTTTGAGGAATTGCTCCCTGTAGAATGTGGTCATTATTTTATCTCTTTCTTTCATTCTGTGGTATGCAGTTTCTCTAAGAAAACAAGTAAAAATATTTTTCCCCAGTTTTTCAGTGTCCGTTGAGTAAAACTGAAGCTTCAGGAAGATGTTATGTTTATACTGTAGTTTTGCATGCCTACCAGTAGGTTTACCACTGAGTAATCCAGGGAGATACATAGATCCTAATTTGAGCACAAAGTCCTAAGGGATTAAGGCTCTGTTTTTCTGGGCACCTAAAAAGCGGAATGTTCCTCATCACCAAGAGTCAAGTATTCTACGTCAGGGGCTCTTCTTTTTCCTGGGAGACCATTCCTTATCTTCCATGATACTTTGATCTAGTCCTATGAATGCTTGAAACACGGGACACACTAGCATGATAGGTAACAGTCGACTTTTCTCAAAGCAACTCAACATTAATAATCACACACTGCTTTGGTCAGTGAGATGGGGAATTGTTTGGATGTCTCTCTGACCCTAATTATTTTCAGCCGTTTTCAGAAAGCAGCAGGAACACAGTAGCTTCCTTGCTCAGTAAAGGGGAGGGTCCAAGATGCTATAGCTCTGGGAGTACATAGAAGGGCACAGGTGTCTTGGATGTCATCACACAGAGCGAGGAAACAGTGGTGCTGTGCACAGCCCTTGCTGTGAGGTATTGATAGGGGCTCATTTGCAATCATTGGGAAGAAAAAAGGGAGTTTCCAAGCTACTCAGAACAGATTACTCAAGTATTTCATAATAAATATTGCAGTTTTAAGAGTCCAGCTGACTACACTGGCTCAACTGAATATTTACAGAAGTCCATATAATACCTTCTGGCTTTAGGCATCAGTAGGATAATGGCAGCTTAAGCTTTGTATTATCCATTGATTCTTTATATCACTCTATGCATCTGGCAGGGAAAGGATGAGGTATTTATATTTGAAAAAAAGCTTTTTTAAATAATAAAACCACTTATTTTAGAATTTTCTTGTATTATTAACCTCAGTAACAGAAAGAATAGAAGACTGTGGTGGTGGTGATATATCCAAATGTATTAAAGTTGATTTTAGATCCAGAAAAGAACCAAAGCAGTCAGTGTCTTCTGTTTGCCCTCTGCTCCGACCAACGTTCTGAAGAAATCACACAAGATTAAATTGGATGAGAGTCTCGGGCCAAATTTTTTTTTTTTTTTTTTTTTTAGCTGAGGAAGATTCACTGGGAGCTAACATCTGTTGCCAGTCTTCCCTTTTTTGCTTGAGGAAGGTTAGCCAGGTGCCTGTCCAGTGATGCAGTGCTTAAGTTCACATGCTCCACTTCGGTGCCCCAGGGTTTGGCACTTCAGATCCCAGGCACAGACCTATGCACTTCTTATCAAGTCATACTGTGGCAAGTCCAACATATAAAATTGAGGAAGATAGGCACAGATGTTAGCTCAGGGCCAATCTTCCTCAGCAAAAAGAAGAGGATTGCCAGTGGATGTTAGCTCAGGGCTAATCTTCCTGGGGGGGAAATAAATAAATAAATGAAAAATAAAGATTAGCCCTTTGCTAACATCTGTACCCATCTTCCTCTATTTTGTATGTGAGTCACTGCCACAGCATGGCTGATGAGTGGTGTAGGTCCACACCTGGGATCTGAACCTGCGAACCTGGGCCACCGAAGCAGTGCTGTGTGCCAAACTTAACCACTATACCACAAGGCCAGCCCCAAGCCAAAGATCTTTTGTATGCACTCTAGTAAATTAACACATTCTTACATTTTGTATTTTTTCAACTATATCTTTTTGTCCTTTCCAGTTATATTTTTCCCTTGCTAAAAACTTCCTGTCCTTTTTGGTTACAGGATTATAGCTGGACAGACATCCGCTGCCCCTTTGAAAAACGAAGAGATGCAGCATGTGTGTTTTGGGACAACGTAGTATACATTTTGGGTGGTTCTCAGCTTTTCCCCATAAAACGAATGGACTGCTATAATGTTGTGAAAGACAGCTGGTATTCCAAACTGGGGCCCCCAACACCTCGAGACAGCCTTGCTGCCTGTGCTGCAGAGGGCAAAATTTATACATCAGGTGGCTCCGAAGTCGGTAAGGACTTATTCAGTCTTTCTGTTTGGGGGAAGTGCTTTAAAGCCAAGTATCTTGGCTTTCATATTTAAATAAACAATTGGTGTTACTTATCCAGATACTTTTTGATGTAATTTAAATACATATCTCTTGCATTTTAGAGCCCATTTTCCTAAAGGTTTACCTTAACTCCTTTATAAATCAGTAATTTACAAGAACTTCAAATTCCTAGATTATGTTAATTGTCACTGTTTTGTTATGATGAAGCTTTCTTTGACACCACCTGGATTTGGGTTCTAGATTAGTTGTTTTGGATATGTTATATACTTGCTTTAAAGCTTGCAGAATTCTGCTTACTCACAGACCCTTTGAGACCTCTTTACTACATTCAAGCTTTTAAAATCTGTATTATCTTTGCTTTCTTTCTATGAGAAAAAAGTATGAATGATCTTTTTCATTTGTTTTGTTCTTTAGCTTTTTAATCTAATGACTAGTAATGGTGTTTGATGCTTATTGATCAGAACCAGATGTGTGGGTGTTAAAAACCTTTCACACTGATGAATAATTTGTTAGTGTCCAGTAGTGATCTTTTCCTAAATGAATGATTTTTCTAAATGAATGTTCTAGGTGCAAACTAGACACATAATAGCTTTTACATGCTTTCATCTTTTCAAGTAATTTCTTTAGCTAAATAATGGGCTTCTAAAGAAAACTAGGAAGACCAAGTAGACCTAAGGTATGGAATTTAAATGTTAATTAGGTCTTTTTATTTTCTTTGATGATTTTGATATTACCTTGGTGAATGTTTTGCTTTTGGGCAGCATATTTATCTGTTCTACATTTTTACCCCCGTCTAGGTGCCAAATGAATACGAGAAATATTGTGATTTCCTAAATGTGACTTAAGAGGTGACCACTTCCCCTTTATAAAAGCATTCTTCACAGAATGTCATAATACAGCCTATTTCAAATCTAATATATCCTAATAATAATAATAATAATAGAAAGTACCTGTTCTGTGGTATTACTATATATTTATATAAAACTTCATTTCTTCAGCATTTGCTCTACTGAGTCAGGTTTTTGCTTAAATATGTTACATCTGCTATATACTGTTTATTTCCTCCGGTGTCAACTAACTGAAGCTACCAAATTGGAAATGTTTAAAAAGAAGTTATCATTAGCCATGACCATTGCTTCTTCCATTTGTTACTCTCTGATCTTTGCTTTCATAGGTCTTGGTTGCAATCGGGAATTATAAGGATGTTGTTGTTGTTTTTAAGCATTAGCAAAGTCCAGAAGAATGGGAAATGAGAAATAATTTGGTAAAGTTCTAACTTCTTTTTTCTTGGGAAGGAAAAAAAGCACTTGATCTTTAATAGGATCATTTTTAAAACTCTTTATTGAGCTCCTATAATGTAGAGAAGTTTTAAAACAGGATGAATATACGTTTTGCCATTAAAATGTATAAAGTACACCAGAAACATACAATGATGTCTTGAGTGTATACCCAAGAATGCACAAGCTTGAATTCAGGGTTTACCCACACAACCACTGAGAGTAGTCAGGAAGAACAGTTTTGTTATGGTGCAGTGGCTGTTATAGAATATTAAATGATAAGCCTTAGTATATTATCAAATAGTAGTTTTCCTATTTTACGGTATGGATTTACCATGTGTAAATAGCTGTTTCTCCCCTCTATGTAAACGTTTGAAGTTTGGGTAATTCTCATCATGCACACCTGAGCTTGAAAATGTACATAATGTTTCTTTTTTTTTTTTTTTAAGATTGGCACCGGAGCTAACAACTATTGCCAGTTTTTTTTTTTCTGCTTTTTCTCCCCAAATCCCCCCAGTATATAGTTGTATATTTTAGTTGTGGGTCCCTCTAGTTGTGGCACATGGGACACTGCCTCAACATGGCCTAATGAGTGGTGCCATGTCCGTGCCCAGGATCCAAACCAGTGAAACCCTGGGCTGCCTAGGCAGAGTGCGTAAACTTAACCAGTCTGCCACAGGACGGCCCCAGAATGTTTCTTATTTGACTTTTTTTTGAGATCAAACCAATTTTTTTCCTAAAGTTTAGTTACCAATAAATAAGCCTCTCCAACAGATCCTTTTTTGAATATTTTCTAAAGTCTATACAAACAGGGTTAGCTTTTTCTTAATCTATTCCTTCCTTTTGCTGTTATTGTTGATTGACTATAGGAATGACTCTGCAAACCTTAAAGATATTCTTCCCTCTAATAACTCATGAGTCAGTGCTCCATCAGCTTGCTGCAAGCCCACAAACACACACACACACACACACACACTAAGTTAAGCATGATTGGGCCCTTTTCTTTTACAGGAAACTCAGCTCTGTATTTATTTGAATGCTATGATACAAGAACTGAAAGCTGGCACACAAAGCCCAGCATGCTGACTCAGCGATGCAGCCACGGGATGGTGGAAGCCAATGGCCTGATCTATGTTTGCGGTGGAAGTTTAGGGAACAATGTTTCTGGGCGAGTGCTGAATTCCTGTGAAGTTTATGATCCTGCCACAGAAACGTATGTATCAATTTAAAACTCTTATTTCACAGTTAATTGTATTCTGTAAGCTCAGTGGAAGAGGATGTCAAAGGCACAAGGAACCCAAGAAGAGAATTTAGTTCTTGTATTAAGAATGTACATACACATTTGAATGTGCTAGGGTCAGAATTTTAGGAAAGGCCTCTAAGTTGGAGAGAGCAAGGACCTCGTACATACTCTGCCTGTGAATTACAAGAGGAAGGAAGTATGTTTTGTGTAACTTCCTTTATTCTAAACCTTCAGGAGACTTAGATATACATAAAAACGTGTTCTTACTTTATGTCATGGACATATTTGGAGAAGAAAGAGGTATGCATATTGAAATTTTCCAAGTCACATCCCGTGTTTAATGCACTTGCCAGCTCACTCTGTAAAGCTCGCTGCATGGACAGGCAATGGAGGCGTAGTACTGGCTTGCCCACGGCCACGCTGTACGCTGGTCTTTTCACCCAGATGCGCATGTGTGTTTATCCTGGAAAGCAGGAGCAGTGTTGCCCACCTTACCTTACAGAGTGCTCTGAAAATGAAAGTTGACTGTCAACCACTGTCAAACCATTTTTAAAACAAACAAAATACATAAATATAAGGCAACAAAAGAGTTGTCAATATTTCAGAGTTAATCATTATGCCCTAATTATGTTTTAAAAAATTAAATTTATTAAATTGTTTGAAAGAAGAGATATAAATAACCGTATTATAGAATTACACTTATGCCAGATTTCCCTTTTGTTGTTGTTTGGTGTCTTTGGTTTATGTTATATTAAGAGCACAGGCTTGTGTGCCACTACCACCTTCACAATCACAAATGTCAGTTGTTTGTATCGGAGAGTACGCAGACGGTGGCATTGACTCTCATAGAAAAAATAGCAAAACACAGTTGTCTGTGTATATGATGCTGCTACCTGCGAATTAGTATCCTTCAACACTTGTGTCCACGTGATATTCTCAATCTTATTCCTAGTAGCGGCTGTGAACATAGCAACATGCTAACAAGTTATTAAACTTGTCAGAATGATAGTACTTTTGTTACCAGAGCTGCCTGAAGTTCTAAGTGTAGATTTGAAGATGGATGTGAATAGTAACAGATACTACTAATTTACTGATTGCTAGAGGCCCGTGATGAATTCATGTTTTACTTACTCATGTAAGTATTGATTAAAACCTCTTGTGACAGTATTAATGCTTCATATTCTCTTAAGTATCTTCCCCTTCCTTTTTGTTACTATTTTACAAGTTATTGTGAACTACAGCAAATGGATTTCTTCTGAAGACGTGTTAACAGTCTTCAGATAGCTTCTGTTTCTCATATCCTATCAGAATTGAGAGGAATAAAATCCCTATTACCCCACCTATAAATAAATTACTCAACACCACTGTTAAACTTTTGTTTTCTAGCCTTCCAGGTGTGTGTGTATGTGAGTGATAAATGAGCACTTAATTGGGATAACAGACCTTTCTTATAAATTAGTGGCAGTCCTTTTACTTCCTGTGAACAAGTACACTAAAAACTTTCTTTTGCTTTTTCAGGTGGACTGAGCTGTGTCCAATGATTGAGGCCAGGAAGAATCATGGACTGGTATTTGTAAAAGACAAGATATTTGCTGTGGGTGGTCAGAATGGCTTAGGTATGTGATGTTAATTCACTGTTCAACTTTCCCAATGAGTTTGCTGATATTTCCTTATCTTCAATTATTGAAATGTTCTTAAAATCTAGATACAAGCATTTATCACTTACATCGTTAGACTTATTTGTATAGTTTCTGGGAACTAACATATTTTATGAAATATTGCAGTACATTTAACATCCCTGTCCATGAAATGTGGGTAATGGCCACCAGTCATTGTGACAGTCTCAGACAGCTTCCACACATTTCCAAATACCCTCTGAGGAATGGTATCCACACTAGCTTAAGAACTATTGAGTGACAAACATTTAAACTTTAAAAAAACATTTTAAACTTTTTAAATACAAGTTTTAGGACTTGTATCCAGACTCTGAATGACAAAATTTCCTAAATACTTTTGAACATTGCATGAAAATATCAATATGGGGGCTGGCTCCTTGGTGCAGCAGGTAAGTTCACACCTTCCACTTCCGTGGCCCAGAGTTTGCTGGTTCGGATCCTGGGTGCAGACATGGCACCGCTTGGCATGCCATGCTGTGGTAGGCATCCCACATATAAAGTAGAGGAAGGTGGGCACGGATCTTAGCTCAGGACTAGTCTTCCTCAGCAAAAAGAGGAGGATTGGCAGCAGTTAGCTCAGGGCTAATCTTCCTCAAAAAAAAGAAAATATCAATATTGCTGTTTTCTTAAATGAGTGAATTTAACCTTTTTATTTTCTTAACTAAGGCTGTACAATGCTAAAGAATTTTTAAATGGAGAATCTGGACTGAATCTTTAGTTAGTAGATGTCAGTATAACAAAGAAGCAACTTCCTTCCCTTCTCCTGTCTGTATCTCTTGCTATTTTCCATAAACTGCTGAAAGATAAATACCAGAAGGGAAAAAGAAGGGTATTTGAATAATTGTAATAAAAGTTAATCAGAGGGAAAATCCACTGATTGGTTTACTTTTTTTGTTTTTCCAAAATGGATAGAACATTTTTAATTTTGTAGAATAAATATAAGTACTTATGGTTCTAAAACGACAAACGTTAAGTTAAATTTCTATGGTGTTAAAGTAAGAATAAGAATTTAGGTGGTAGATATGTGAGCATTCATTGTAAAATCTTACACCTTTTCTGCATGTTTGAAAATTTTCACAATAAAATTTTGGAAAAAGGCAAAGAATTACTACTTTAAGAAATCTCAGTTTGTTCATATAGTTGTTCATGTTGTTTTATTCTTTCAAAGGTGGTCTGGACAATGTGGAATATTATGATATTAAATTAAACGAATGGAAGATGGTCTCACCAATGCCGTGGAAGGGTGTAACAGTGAAGTGTGCAGCGGTTGGCTCTACAGTTTATGTCTTGGCTGGTTTTCAAGGTGTGGGTCGATTAGGACACATCCTTGAATATAATACTGAAACAGACAAATGGATTGCCAACTCTAAAGTCCGAGCTTTTCCAGTAACAAGTTGTTTAATTTGTGTTGTTGATACTTGTGGAGCAAATGAAGAAACCCTTGAGACATGAAAAGTGAGTGGACTTCAAGACTCATCGGAGACTCAAAAATATGGCCACCAGTGCTTTGTTTCGAGAGTTTGGTTACAAAGTTTTACTTTGGTGTTTTGTTTTTTTAAAGGAAGTTTCAAGTACAGTAAGATCCCTATAAAATAGATGTTTCTTTTATATGGATTTCCTTACTTAATTCAAAGACCGTATTTTAGCTGGCCACATAACCAAGAACATATCTAGAAAGAAAACTTGAAAAATTATAAGCATTGGGTGAAAATATGAATTCTTAAATGAATTTCACATTTGTAACTATATGATTAGGGCAGAGTGGGAGATTGGCTCATCAATGAGGCAGTCTCATCTTAGCTCTAGATTCTATTTTCATACGTCATAGAAATGCTATGTAGTTAGGTCTGTTTGTTTCTGTTCAGTCAAGAACTAATAAATAGTATGAATTGTAAGGCAAGACAGCCAACTCTGATGGAGCAGCTTAGTCTTACATAATTTTGCTTGTCTTCATTTGTTCCATTTAGTGCCAAATGTATTCCATTTTAAAAGCAAGCCAGAGTGAGTCAAGGCATACACATGTTCTCTCACAAGACTTCATAAACACATTTTAGGACTTACAAATGTACCCAACTCCTCATGAAAGATATTCAATCCAATTAAACACAGTGTATCTTTTTAACACAAAATGTCCAGCTTAGCACCCATCATTAATTTATATCACTGTTTTTCCCAGTGGTTAAAAAATGATTATGCCTCCTCAGTCCTCACTGTGAAATCAAATCAAATCATAATAAGAATGATTATCTAGCAAAAGATAAGCGTATTTATAGCAAACTTCTAGGTCACTAGAATAGCACTGATAGTTTATACAATATCATTGTTGACTTTGAACCTCTTATGGATTAAAAGGTACATCACTGCTTTTCCTTAACAGGACATGTCAGAGGTATTTGACGCAGTTGTCTCTAATAAAAGTTTTGTAATAATTTGAGTTCGGTATTTGTCATCTCGCATTAATTGCTTTTGTGTGCTCAATAAATCTTTTACAAACCCAACTACTCATTTCTTTCTTAGTAATGTTGTGCCCTTTTACATTATGGAATGTATGGAATGAGCCATGTAAAGCTGTCACCATCAAAGTTTTTATCTGATAATATTAAATATTTTTTAACTTAAAATAGACTGCTAACTTTTATTCATTCTTCATTTCAAATGTGTTAAGTAATGGTTATTTTTAAAATTTAAGCAGTGTTTCTATTTTAATTTTCATTGTTTTCTTTTTATGGGGGTTATAATCTTAAACGCTAAAAATGTCTAAATGAAAAAGGAATTATAAAAAGCATAATGATAGATATATTTGTACTTATGTAGGGTTTTTAATGTACATAATAGCTTTATTGAGATATAATTCATGTATCATACAATTCACCCATTGAAAGTGTATCATTCAATGGTCTTTAATATATTCACCAAGTTGTGTCACCCTCACCACACTTCAGGAACATTTTCATCACCACAAAAAGAAACCCCATACTCATTAGCAGTCACTCTCTGTCTTCCCCCTGTATGAGTTTCCTATGGCTCCTGTAACAAATTACCACAAAATTCATGGTTTAAAACAACAGAAATGTATTCTTTCACAATTCAGGAGGCCAGGAGTCCTAAATGAAGATGTTGGCAAGGTTGCTTGCTTTTGGAGGCTCTGAGGTGCAAACTGCCCAGGCCTCTCTCTAGCTGCTTCTGGTGGTTGCTGGCAATCCATGGCATTCGTTGGCTTGTAACTGCATCACGTCAATCACTGCCTGTGTCTTCACATGGCCCTCTTCCCTGTGTCTCTCTCTGTGTCTTCATGTGGTGTTAAAAGGACAACAGTCATTGGATTTAGCCCACCATCCCCCGATCCAGGATGATTTTATCTTAACTAATGACATCTGCAAAGAGCCTATTTCCAAATAAGGTCACATTCTGAAGCTCTGGGTGGACATGAATTTTGTGGGGACATTATTCAACCCAGTAACATCCCCCAGACACCGCAGCCCTAGGCAACCATTAATCTTTGTCTTTAGTTTTACCTATTCTGAACATTTTTATGTTGGGTTTTGAATTTTGCACCCTATTGAAAAAAATGTGTCCAGTTTAAATTTTTTGAGGGAAAAATATCCAGGTATCATATTACAGTTTTGTTGTATTACTTAATATGATAATCTCCCAAGTGGAAATACGCAGCACTGTTTAAGATCTTTTAAATGGACTAGTCTTTTCTTTAGGCTCTGTCAACTGACCAGAACACGGTATAAGTATGTAGACAGGTTTGATGTAGGTTATAATGAAGTGGTTTTTAAAAATTAGTAATTCCTAATTAGTGTCTGTTTTCTGCCTTCGAAATATTCTACAAAATTGTTAATGCCAGGATAATGAATGAGCAAAATATATTGTCAAATAAACTTTCTATTCCTCGCCCCCCGCCAAAATTCCTGTAAAGTGCTCTACTTTCTTTTTAGTAGATACATGATATATTAATGTTATATCCTTTGCAGTGACATTATTGTGATGATACACCTATTTAGATTAATCTTTTTAAAGTCACAACTTTAACATGAAAGTTATTATGTCTTGAAAACAATTGTAATAAAAACAGTAATTGTGACCTAGCTTTCAAAAACCTTATGTATAGTCTCACAGAAACTTTTGTCATGAAAATGAGCCATTTAATAAATAATTATTCAACCAAGCAATCTATATTCCTTTTGCCTTATATGCTATTAACAGCAAAAAAAAAAAAAAAAATTGGATTTGCTGCATAGGCCAGGGTGAAAGGAGACATTTGAAGGAAATTTTGTTTTTTAAGGGTGGTACTATTAACATATACCAACGACTTCAGAAAATTCATTCCACTCCAACATGGTACCAAACCAGCTCTCACTAAGTCTCAATAATTTGGTGATATGAAAGGACACTTTACAGGTATCATCATTCAACACGTGACAAATTCTTTCTTTAAATATTCCCGTGTCTTTACAATTGGCTTAAAGGTCTTTCAAAAACTTGAATCCGCTTTCATTTTCTTAACTTTCCCCTTTGCCAAGGTGATTCAAACTACTTTGTGAGAAATAGAAAATCAGTGCTGGAAAATTGTCTGAAATGTTATCTTTACTAACTAGAAAGCTTTTTACTTTACAGAGCTTTAAGCCTCCCCTCATAAGAAAGCTGTAAAATGGGGTTCAAAATCTGGTTTGTTCAATTCTTGTAGAGGATTTTCTCTTCCAACCCTCTACTGAATTTGTTCCCACTATTAATGTTTAATTTCATTGAAATTAATTCACTACCAAGAGCACTTTCTTTTTATGATTGTTCTTTTACATAGCATGCTGTTCTTGTTTCATGTTAGCCTCTCTGAGGATAGTTTAGGTTAACATTTTTTATACTCTTGGTTTCTGTTTCCTCTGACTTCTTTTTCTGTTTGCTTTGCTCTTTCCTGTTGGAGTCTTTCCTCAAATATCTGGTCCCTGGCTGTGCATTTATATTTAAAATGAGACATTAAAGAGTTGAAGTAGGGGCTAGCCTGGTGGTGCAGTGGTTAAGTTTGCAAATCCCGCTTCTGTGGCCTGGGGTTCGCAGCTTCGGATCTGGGGTGCAGACCTTCACACCGCTCGTCAAGCCGCGCTGTGGCAGGCGTCCCACCTGTAAAGTGGAGGAAGATGGGCACAGGTGTGAGCTCAGGGCCAGTCTTCCTCAGCAAAGAGAGGAGGATCGATGGCAGATGTTAACTCAGGGTTAATCTTCCTCCAAAAAAACAAAAAAAAAACCCACAAAAAGTTGATAGCTTTTGTGTACAAAGGTGAGCTTAATTATCATTGAACTTCATCGTAGAGGGAATGGTCCCATTTTGAGGGAGGATTCATGAAAGATCCACAGATATTTTTCTGGGTTGTTTGATTCTCTGGAAAATAATCTTCCAAACCTCTGCTCCTTGGGTGGGGGAGGGCAAGTTGGGAAGAGGGGGTCTCAAAGCCTGGCTGCAGGATTTCTAGAGCTCAGACAAGGGGACTAACTGACCATTCAATAAGCATAGCTTAGGCCCTCTCTTGTCAGTACCATAACTTGCCTGTCTGCACTTGATGTCCTGGACTCTGAAGCTTCTCTTGTTCCTGTTTTTCAAGAAAAAACCTCTCTCTCATCAGGTAGGGATAGTCACCTCACTGGGTGGACTTATGGCACTGGGTTCTAACTGCACCTCATGGAGATTTTCAAATAATCCACCCTTCTGTGGTACCTGGTGGTTCTCAATTCCTGAGGCTTTTTTGCCTTCTCTGGGAACATCAGTGTCCACCTTACAGGAATCTGACTTTCTTCCTCTCTTCTAGGTAACTTACTATTTACTCTTCTCAATTGTGGTCATTCACTCTTTCATACACTCTTCATACATTGTGGTCTGAGGAGGTTGGCCCTGTGGCCCAGTGGTTAATTCATGCTCCACTTCAGCGGCCCAGGGTTTCACTGGTTCGGATCCTGGCCATGGACGTGGCACCGCTCATCAAGCCATGCTGTTGCAGCATCCCACATAACACAACCACAAGGACCTACAACTAGAATATACAACTATGTACTATGGGGCTTTGGGGAGGAGAAGAAGAAGAAGAAAAACAAGATTGCCAACAGATGTTAGCTCAGGTGCCAATCTTTAAAAGAAATTGTGGTCTGAGATTATAATTATGTCCTAGTATAATCCAACATGATTTTTTTCCCTTTTATTTTGAGATGATTTTCAAGAGGAACGGGAGACAGAAGTATTTTTACTCTGCCAACTTGAAACTAGAAGTTTCCTTGCAGTGGCCCCACTTTCCTGTTTTCCACTTACCTCTCCCCTAACTGATCACTACCAAGTTCCACATGCCTCTGATCTCGGCTCTCATCGTCTCACACAGCACTCCATCTGGATGATCTCAGTCAGGACTCTGGCCTTGCCACCTCCACACCTTCACCGAGCACCATGCTCACTCTCATTTAAGCGTCAGCCACCACTGTATTATTTTAGGTCTTTGATCCCAGCAGAGTCCTTATACATGCTGCCATGGACAAGAAGTCAGGGACCACAATGTGAGATTTGTTAATACAAGGGGATTGCTCAAAATAAATATGTTAATAATGGGAGCCAAGTTTCTGTCAAAGAAGGAAGATAGAAATATAGGAGAAAAATAAAATGAATCCTGTGATCTTGGGTTGTAATTGGAGGTTATCAGTGGGAACTCAGTTTTTTATAAATATACAGAAATATGTATTGATGTAAATGTGTGTCTGTCTATAGTATGTATTCCATATGTATGCCCATGAAAGGGCCTGGGAGTGATGGGGTTCAGGGCAGGCCGCCTCAAGATGCGCCACTTTGGTATGCAGATTATTTCGAGCTGAAGACAATCAAGGCTCAGAAGACTCAGGAAGAACATTTGATCTTCCTCCAAATTACCTAAAACAATTTAAGATAGAAGGGCCCATCCCGGGAAGGAGCTAGCACCATGGATAATTCTAGGTCTAGTAGGCAGGAAGGCATCTAGCAAGGGCCATTTTATCAAAAGATCTCTCTCAGGTCCCATTGTCTATAGATAGCCCAGCAAACATTTGTTTACCAAATATTAACTCTTTGCATCTTTCTGTAAATTGCCTTCTCCCTCTTTGAAGTCTCAGACCTCTATCTCCCTATCCTTAGTCCAGAGAGACATATATACCTCATTTTGCCTGACTGTCTTTGGAATTCGTCATGCTTATGTGAATTCCCCATGTACATGCATTAAACTTTGTTTGACTTTCTCCTGCTAACCTGCCTTATGTCATTTTAATTATTTGACCAGCCATAATAACCAAAAGGGGAAAAGGGGAGTGGGTAGAGAATTCTCCCTCTTTTCCTACAGGAGCAAGGACATCACAATAGCAATGAGCAAACTTAGAGCTTAGATCTTGGCTTCTAAGGACCATCAAAAAGACCCAGGGCTCCTTGGAGAAATGGCTGATTCCAGGACTGGAGTAGGGAAAGTGTAAGATGAGTCTGTAGCATCTTTTGGTCCAGGAAGTGAAGAAGTGCCCAAAGAATCATAGGATGTGTCAAAAGGACAAAAGAACTTAAAGGGTCTCCCAATGGCCAAATTGGGGCTAATTTGAGCATCAAAATAAATAATAGTAAAGCTTATAACACATTGAGTAAAATTGGAAACCATGAATCCATACTGAGACAAATAAATAAATGAACTAAAAGTTTGGTAAAGTGAGATTTTTTATATATTTTCAAAGTATCTCCCCACCAAATCCTTATTAATAACAAAGAAGAAAAGATTAATTTTACAGTGGAGCAGCTTGGTAGACACCACCTTAATCAAGTGATCAAAGTGAACATAACAGGTAATGGGACAAATTGAAATCGTGCACAACCTGACAGGTGCAATGTGACGACCATGGCATCATTTCCGTGATAATCCTGCCAGAGACGCATATCAGGAGAAAACAGATAAATCTGCGTTGAGGAACTGCTGCAAAATAACCAGCTGTAATCGTTAATAGTGTCAAGGTCATGAAAGTCAAGGAAAGACTGAGGAAGTGTCCCAGAATGAGAGAGACTAAAAAAAATGAGCAAAGCAACAATGATTCTGAACTATAGGTCCTTTTCCTGTAAAGGACATTATTAGGACATTTGGCAAAACATGAACGGGATCTATGGATTAGATAACAGTAATGCATCAATATCAATGTCCTGATTTTGGTGATTGCATTGTGGTTACGTAGGACAACATCCTTGTTTGTAAGAAACAGTATTTAGGTGATGGAGCATCAGGTCTGTAATACAGTTTCAAATGGTTCAGGGAAAAAGTTCTTTGTACTATACTTATAACTTGCCCATAAATTTGTTTCAAAATAAATGAAACCGATTTTTAAAAAATAAACTAAGTTGCACCAATTATTCCTAGTGCTCCTATAGATTCCCCTCTCCTCAAAACCCAAAGTATGTGGGCAAGAACAACGGCCAATCGTTCTAAACCACCAGGGACAAATCTGTAATCCAACAAAGGCAGATTTATTGACTGGTTGCAACCAAGGAGACTGCACACCAGAGGAACGATAGGGTTGTCTCACCATACAAAAGACAAGATAGTCGTTGTAGGATTTGTGGAGAAGGTGGAGGTTATGAGAAATTTAAATGAAAGTTTTCATAGGCTCAAAGCAGAGCTGTGTGTTAAGGCATCGACATCAGACATGGACTGAGAAGTGGATGCAGGGTCATGTTTCCTTGGAAACTACAAAGTTAAGAAAATATGCAATGTTCTTTTCAGGAACCCCTTATCTAAAGCTCTGCACCTGGATAGAAATCGAGGCTGCTTCTCTGCATCAAAGTGTCTTAGATCCTGCAGGCAAGAGCGGGATGTTTCATTCTTACCGATGTAATTTCAAATAGCAACGTTTACATGGACCTTAAAAACAAGGTTTCTCGGCGTCTAAGAATGTAGTACTCATCCAAAGATGGGAGTTACTATGATACTTTTCCCTTGCAGTCAGTCCTTAAAAGAAACACTGTTTCCCGTTAACGTTACAAGTGGTTTTATATGACTCTATTAATCATCCTGATGAACGACTGGGCAAATTTTTACTTTCTCAACAGTTACAAATGAAAAAGTACGACTCGGTCTCTCAAACCACAGTTACTTCTCATCTCAGGGAGGCGGAGGTTTGCTTGACCCGCTTTCCTCTCATTTCGGACCTCAAGCCTCCATTGAAGTCCGGTCCGGCACCCGACTCAAACCCTTCCAAGTCCCCTTTCAAACATTCCGCCTCGCCAGGCCACACTCGGAGCGCGGGGCGGTCCGGCTGCTCTCAAACCCTATTAGGTAAAATCCACGCCTCTCGCTGCACTGGGGCGGGACAAGAGGGAGGACATTTCCCGGACGCGAGAAGATGACGTCACAGTAGCGGGCCCGACCCTTCGGTTGCTTTGGGCTCTCCGCTCGCGAGGGTGCCGGCTGAAGACCGCTCGTCGGCGACGCCGGCGCAATGACCATTTGTCAGTTCTTCCTTCAAGGCCGGTGCCGCTTTGGAAACCGGTGCTGGAACGAACATCCCGGCTCCGGGGGTGCGGTCGGGGGACGGCAGCCACAGCCCTCAGGTGACGTTCCCTCCATCCTCCGCCGCTAGCCGAGCCGGGAAAGACCTGGCGCCGGAACTCGCCGTGGGGAACGGGCGTCCCGCGTGGGGCCCGCCGCTCGGCGCAGCGCCGCGGCGCACGGGTCACGTGACGCAGACGTGCCTGCGTCTCCCCCTTCCCGACCCCGCCTATCGGGCCAGGCGTACAGTTTCCCTCCAATGTTTTTTATTCGCGTCTTAGGAGCGTCGGATTTTGTGGGTACTAAAGGCAGAAAATGAGTGTTTAAGTCGGAAGTATGGTCAGAATCACCTTGTGCCTGGGTGGCAATGGTTCGGCGAATTGACGGCTCTTCGCCTTACTACCCTTTTGGGTACTTGTTTTTTCGCTTGACACTTTGTAATTTTTACTGAATTTTTTTCTAGGGAGAGCTAGCAACTGGGGTCAGAGTCAGAACTCTTAACTTTGGGGAAGTCTCAAACTCCTTGGAAAATCTAATAAAAGCTACAGAGTTGTACCTTAGACAAATGTACATGCTCATAAATTTGGGGTGAAAGTGGGAGGGCGGGACACTCCGTGAAGAACTCTGGGCTGCGGGAAAAGGGGATGTGGGGTACCAAGCTGACCTGTTCCCTGGGCCTAAGTCGTTGTCGAAGCTTTTAGAATATTTCACTAAACCAATTGTGGATGATGCAAAAGGACCGTCTTCGAGGAGAGGAGGGATCAGACGTGAAACCAGAGTACAACACAAAGTTTTAAAGGTCAGATGAATAGTTTTTATTTTCTTGGGGTTGGAACTTAGTCCTTAAGGGTATCACACGATGCTAACCCTCTCCCCTCCCTTCCCTTCGTTCGGACTATTCACCTGACCTTCTGATCCCTCTTCTGGAAGATAGCCTTTTTGCATTACCCACAATTGGTCTAGTGAAATATTCCAAACCAAAAATTAAGACTTGGGGTCTAATAAATGAGAGTGTATTTCCAGGAACAACATAATGTAATATTTGACATTCTGTGGAGACTCACTCTAAATGTACTAATTAGAAAATAAATGTTGATTGGATAGATTGATACATGAAAAAGTATAAATAAAACTTGTCAAATAAACACTGTATTTAGCTCCCAGAAACAAACGAATACTTCTGGAATTAATTAAGTATGACACCAAAAACCATATACGAAAGATGGAATGAATATTTTCAGTTGTGTTCTCTCTCAAAGGATTTGGAACTTTAGAAAAATAAGATACCACTAACCCCTACTTGAGGGATCTGGTCCAGCAGTTTACTTTCTTTTGTCTTTGATTTTATTAAGTAATTTTAGAGTTAGGAGATGAATTTTCGCAAAAGGGTATATCTCTCGTCACTCCATTTTTTAATACATTTAATGGCATATCTCCTAATTCAGTCAGAAACGAGATGAATTATCTTGGCCCCAATTAGGAAGTGATGAGTAAATGAGATAGTTGAAGTGATAAGGTGTTTTTTAAATATAGAGATAGGAGAGAGTCATCTTGGCTCATTTTGATAATTATGGAATATTAGAAATCTCATACCAGAGGAACTCAGTGCACTTTATTCACATGTAAATTACCTCTATAATCTCCCTATGAAAGATAGGTGGGTAGGGGTCCTTTTCCAAGAGGGTAGACTGAGTCAAATAGATTTAAGCATCTATTCAAGAACAGAGGGTAGAATCTAATCTTTTACATTCAACGAACTCTTTAATACATCGTCCATTTTTCAGACTTTACTACTATGTAGGGCCCAGTGGGGGAGCAAAGAATGATAAAGACACAGCTTTTTATCTTGAAGAAGCTTATGATTTAGGTTACATGCCGTCTATCCACTCCACTGTTAAGCAGTTGTTTACCTAATGAGCTTATATTAGCTGAACTTAGTAATATATCGTTATTTTTCTATAGATTTACAGAAGTCCTGTTAAACAGAAATGCAATTATACCATTATGTGATTTGTTGATATTATATGTAACTATATAAATTAAAAATGAAGAGTTTTGTGATTTAAAATGAGCAGAAATATAGCTCTTGTTGAATCTTTGCATAATGTCTGCACGTAATAAGACAAAATATAATAAAATTTTTGAGATTTAAAAGAGGACTTGCCAGTAAAATTGTCTTATTTTTTATTTCAGGTAGTAACAGACGCGGATGGAATACCACCAGCCAGAGATATTCCAATGTTATCCAGCCATCCAGTTTCTCCAAATCCACACCATGGGGGGGCAGCAGAGATCAAGAAAAGCCATCTTTCGGTTCTTTTGATTCTGGAGCTTCAACTAGTAGGAACAGGGGGTTTGCATTGTCTCAGAATCCATTTGCTTCACCTAGCTCTGATGAAGACAAAGATGAAAAGAAACTTCTGTAAGTGAAAGCCTTCAGAAAAATTACTACTCATTTGCTTACTTTATTCAAAAGTAACTACAATATTTTCTTTAAAAAAGAATTAATACGTTATTAAAAAATCAGATCAAGCAAAAAGAAGAACAAGCACCTGTGATGCTGTCACTCAGAGATAACCACTATTTTGCATATATCGTACTAGACTTTATTTCACTTAAAAATATGTCATCTTTCCATATCACTACAGTGACTTCTTAGGGCTAATTATACTTTCTCCACTTTTCTATTGATAACACTGTATTGTGAATATCTTTCTAAGGTAGTCCTGCATAACATTTTTGTAAATTATGAGTTCTTTACAAAGTATGAGGTAATTTAAAGCAACTTGTGATCTTGGAGGTCACTTATAGCATCTCATATTCTTCTTTCTAAAACTTTTACTTTGGTTACTCCATTCAAACTGATTTCTCTTGATTTCCTTCATTATTGTGGAGCAGATACCTTATCATATCTTGAGAACATTCATGGTAGAATTTATGACTGGTGCCAAAACAGTGCCAGGCTGTCTGTAACTCTTCTCTCAGCTCCTAGGATAGAACTTAAATATGCTCACTAGTCTTTTACTTCCCATAACCAAATTAGAACCAGTGGTAAACATTTTGAGCCATACACCATATACAGTTTATTTGGAAAAAAGTAGAAGAACAAATGAAACCTTCCTTCTTATATTTGATGTTGTAAAAGTCCTAAATTTAACACAGTACTCTCTGTGGTATCTGTCATTTTATTAATTGTAGCCTTCTGGATGGGGGGAGGGGAGACATTTAATTTAGAGCTGAATCTATCCACAGCTTTGCCAACAAATTAACTGTGTGGCCATGGGTCCATCTCCCCTTTTGCAAAATGTGAGAACTGGACAAAATGATCTCTATGGTCCACCCACTTTAAAAATGTTACGGTTCTACATTACTTATGTGGTAACATCTTTCCCAGTTAAATGATCATTGATGTTTATGATAACGAACAAAGAAAGATTAAAGTTAGTATTATGTGTTTTATTTTATTGTAGCTCTTTAAAATATATATGGTATGATAGTTCTCACTTAATAAATGTATTGGTTAATGGTTCAATGTACTGGGAAACCAAAATTATGAACTTCTTTGATATTATAATAATATTTATAATTATGAAAGATCGTTCATATTTCTGTAAGTTTGTGCTTTAAAGAACACTTCAGAAAATATAATGGAAAAATTTGGAATTATATATTTACTACAATTTAAAATTTCAGTCATTGAAAATTATAAACAATAAATTTTAACAAGCAGATGAAAAAGATCCTTTGCTCTTTTTTTTTTTCAGGGAAGGAATTGTAAAAGATATGGAAGTTTGGGAATCATCAGGGCAGTGGATGTTTTCTGTTTATTCACCAGTGAAAAAGAAATCTAATATTTCAGGTAACTGAGAAATTGTGTGCTGTTAAAATAAGTTTTACAACCATTATTTTCTAAAACCAAAACCATACCAAATAAAGAAATTAACTACAAATGTAGCTACAGTTGGGAGAGTTTGGACATTGTTAAAATATATGAGGATTCTAGATGAACTTGGTAATTCAGAGATTGAGGGTGGAAGATACAGTTCTTTTAAGATACGTAGTTCTCCTGAGATAATAGTAAAATCAGGACCCACCACAATTTTAATTCTGTAAGCCCAGGAACAGGCTTTGCTTTCTTGGTTCCCTGTGGGTACAGCTGTAGAACCTCTGAGCTGCCTACAGTGACTGGAAGAGTTACATCCTGCCTCCCATTAATTGGCTACCTGATTCTGGCTTCCTGACTCTGTACTCTCTTCCTTCCCTATCTCTCCTTCTAAAGGCAGTTATTTTTCATAGACCATGTTGAAACCTATCCTGGAGATAATGTTTGAAGGTAGGGAGCCTTAGCTGGGCTACAGGGATAGCTTTTCTTTAGAATACTCCTTTCCATCCCGTTTTCTTTTGTCCATAGTTGCAAAGCCCTTTCTGGGCTGCAACCTGGACCACTACGCTTTTCTGAGCCCACTCTCCTATTGAGTAAACAGCAGGTACCTAACGGGTGAGAGCCCTTGCAATCCCTAGGGACTCTGGGATCTCTACTCTATCTCAGCTCTACCTGCTCATTCTCTGTGAGCATTTGTGTCACTGCGCTCCTTAGTTATTTATTCACTCAATCATTCAACAAATACTTACTGAATTTCTTTTGTGCCCTGCCCTATTCCAAGTGCTAGGGATATATTGTTGAGCAAGATAGACAAGATCCCTTCCTTATGAAGCTTATGTTCTTGAGGGAGGGAGACAATAAGTAATACAAATAAGATAATTCCAGATAGTGATTTTTCTATAAAGAAAATAAAGAAGTATTAAGCCTTTTTTAATCAGTTCAGAATTGAACCTAATGCCTAATGCCTTCCTAAAGCAGTGGTTCTCAAAATGTAGGATGTAGATCCCTAAGTAGGGTGGCCAGATAAAATATGGGACACCCAGTTAAATTAAATTTCAGATAAACAAAGAATAATACTTTTAGTATATGAGTATCCCATGTAATATTTGGAATATATTTATACTAAAAAGTATTTGTTGTATGTCTGAAATTCAAATTTAACTGGGCATTCTGTATTATTATTTGCTAAATCTGGCAACCCTATTCCTGAGACCCTTTTAGGGGCTATTACAAGTTCAAAAATATTTTCATTAATTGCCATTTTCACTGTGTTGATTTTTGCACTGTTGGTACAAAAGCATTGATGAGTAAAACTCCTTGTATCTTAGTGTGAATTAAGGCAGAGGCAACAAACTGTACTAGCAGACTAGTAGTCAATTAAAAAAATTTTAATGCCATTTTCACTTACGGTGTCCTTGATGAAGGGGTAAAAATTATTAATTTTATTAAATCTTGACCCTTGATTGCACACCTTTTTATTATTATTATTATTATTATTGAGGAAGATTAGCCCTGAGCTAACATCTGCCTTCAATCCTCCTCTTTTTCTGAGGAAGACTGGCCCTGAGCTAACATCTGTGCCTATCTTCCTCTACTTTATATGTGGGACACCTGCCACAGCCTGGCTTAACAAGCGGTGCATAGGTCCATGCCCGGGATCTGAGCCGGTGAACCTCAGACTACCGAAGCGGAATGTGCGAACTTAACTGCTGCACCACCAGGCCGGCCCCAATTGCACACCTTTTTGATATTCTGTGTGATGAAATGGGAAGCACACATAAAGTGTTTCTGCCACATACTCAAGTATGTATGGTTATCTTGAGAGAAAGCACTGGTGGGATCGTTTGAGTTGTGAGCTGAACTAGTCACTTTTTTCACAGACAATTTTCATTTGAAAGAATGACAACTATGGTTATTTAGACTTGGGTATTTGGTAACATTTCCTAAAAAATAAATGAATTGAGCCTGTCACTTCAAAGAATACAACCGACAGTGTTTATTGCCAATGCAAAAATTCAAACTTTCAAGTGAAAATTAGAATTATGAAAAACTGTTTTCAACCACTGCGAGCATGACAGCATCTTAATACTTAAAGTCTCCTCTGATGAGATGGATAGTGACATTAACAGCTATGATTTTTTTTGATATTGTAAGATCACGTGTGCCAACATTTGGAAGTTCTGAGTAACTCAGTTAACCAATATTTTCCAAATGGCCAATGTATGATGTTACAAAATCATGCATGGCTGAAAAATCCATTCTTAGTGCAAGATACACCAGTAAATTTAATATAATAGTCCAAAAAGTTCATTAGTAGGGTTTGAATCCACATTATAGCTGACCTTTGAGAAACTACCACCTGTCAAGTTTTGGTGTAGTATCAAAGAAGAATATCCGCAATTATCTGAAAAAGCCATTAAAGTCATCCTTTTCCAACTACACATCTGTGTGAGAGCAGGTTTTCTTCATACACTTCAACTAAGCAATATATTGCAACAGATTGAATGCAGAAACAGATATAATAACCCAGCTGTCTTCTATTAAGCCAAAAATTAGAGATTTACATACATAAAACAGTGCCACTCATCTCATTAAATTTTTATTTTTTGTTTTGGAAAACTGTTTTTTATTTAGGTTTCTTATTTTTAAATGTATTAATAAATATTGTCTACATTTCTCAGTTTTCATTTCAAATATGGTAAATATTGATATGTATAACCCATGTAAGCAAAAGCTCTTTGGGATCCTTCATGATTTCTAAGAATATAAATGAGTCCTGAGACCAAAAAGTTGGAGAACTGCTGACATCCTTAGGCATCATTATAATGAATTAACTTTTCTTTTGCAGCTCGAATGGTACTACTTTTGTCCCACCCTTGAGAGAACTGAGACAATAGTCACTCAGATCATTTTCTGTGCTCTCTGGTTCAGATGCAGAACAGCTGGAGGGAGGAGAAAGTAACTAGAGGGACAGTGTTCCTTTCGACAAGGTGGTTATCTATTCTTTGGATGCAATATTGGAGCTGAGTCCTGAATGAGTAGAAGATATCACTTACACGAAGATTGGGGAGACATTCCTAGCAATAGGAATAGCTAGTGCAAAGGCCCTGGTGGGAACAAGGTTGGCATGTTTGAGCACTGGTGAGGCCTGAATCGCTGGAGGAGTGTAAATGAGGGAAACAGTAATATGACAGAAGGCCAGAGAGGCAGCCAGGGGCCAGATCACATTGGGCCTAATTGCACTGGGCAGCCTCGAAGAGCTTTAAGCGGGAGGGGATATGATCTGATTAGAAAAAGCTCACTCAGACTCTTGTGTGAAAGGAAATGGTCTGTTGGGGGCAAGGAAGAGGAGGTGAAATAGAGGCAGGGAGATGAGTTAGGAGACAATTGCTAATGACTTGGTTAGAGTTACTAGCAGTGGAGACAGAAGTGGTCCAATTCGGGTTCTGTTTTGGAGCTGAAACTGGCAGGATGCTGATTAATTAGATATGGGGAAAGAGAAATGCAAGGTGATTCTTAGGTTTTTTGGCCTGAGCAGTTAATAAAGATGGTAAAGACAAGTTGTTAGAGGTAATCCAGGGTTCTGATTTGAACATTTAGTCTTTTCTTTGTTCTCACCTAGTGGTCCTTGGAGTTAATGATATATAGGTTACAAGTAATTCTCTGTAGAAAATATCCTGAACATTTTTTTTCCTTTTTTAAAAAGTTTTCATAGTTATAAAAATTATAGCTGTTGCTATGGAAAACTTGAAAATTACAGAAATATGTAAATAAAATAAAGATCACCTGATCTCACAGAGATAACAACTGTAACATTTTAGTATATTTCTTTTAAAACATGCACTCACAGAACCAGCCCTAATGGCCTAGTGGTTAAAAGTTAAGTGCTCACCACTTTGGTGGCCCAGGTTCACTTCCCTGTTGCGGAACCACACCACCTGTCTTGTCTGTTGCCATGCTGTGGCAGCAGCTCACGTACAAGAACTAGAATGCCTTACAACTAGCATGTACAACCATGTCGAGGGGCTTTGGGGAGCGAAAAGAAAAAAAGAGGAAGATTGACAACAAATGTTAGCTCAGGGCGAATCTTTCCCTGCAAAAGGGAAAAAAAAATGTACACACAAACATATTTCGTGTTTATGTGTATAATGAGGATCGTAATCTAATTTTGTATTCTACTTTGTTGTTTTCAGTTTGTCTCTATTACTAAAATACTAGAATGACCATCTTTATACGTGTTTCCTTTACACATCTGATTATTTCCTGAGGTTAAATCCTAGAAATTTTATTCAAGTCAGAAGTTATGAACATTTTTAAGGCATGTGACACTTATTGACAGTTTTCCTCCCAGAAAAGTTGTACCTTTTTAATTTCCTTAACAGCAATTTAGGAGAATATCCATTTCACCACATAATAATAATAACAGTAAATATCATCCATTTTTAATTTTTGCCAGTCTAATAAAGCATTTTATCTCTGACTTGTATTTTTAAATTGAACTTTTCAGTTTCATTTATTTACTGGCTCTTTTTTGCAAATTGCCCATTCATTATCTTTGCCTGTATTAACTTATTTTTCTCAGTGATTTGTAAGAGCTGTCTATACATTGTCATTAGCTCTTCTTTTGTCATATATATTACAATTGTGGTTTTCCCAGTTTACCATTTGTCTTTTAATTTTGCTTATTATACTTTCTGATATATAGAATATTTTTTAAGACAGAAGTTTGAATGTATATGTAGTCTACTCTTTCTTTTCTTTGTTATTCCTTCCATTCCATTCGTCTTTAGAAAATTTTCCCCCCTCAAAGATGAAATAACCAACTACATTTTATTCTAATTTTGTACTTTATTGAATATTAAATAGAGTGTAGGCTTTGAATTTTTTCCTTATGATTATGAAAATTTTCTAATGATCAACGTTAGCATGTTTTCTTGTCTAGCCCCTCTAGCTTTACTATCCTATCAAAAGTATTAGTATTTATGTTAAAGATTCCAATTAATTCCTTACTTCAGGTTTTACAGACATTTCACCAGAGGAGTTGAGGCTTGAATACCATAACTTCTTAACCAGCAATAACTTACAGAGTTATGTAAGTTTGTTTCCTGTTCCTCTACCTTGGTAACAGATTAGCTGTTAATTGCTATCTTCTTTCTAGTGGCTTGCTTGTGTGTTGGCAAAGTGGATGAGGTCTATAATATTTTTGAGCACAAGGCTACTTTTATTTTCGAAATTACTTTCTTTGGAATTGGTTGGTTATCTAAAATGGCACTAATATATTTTGACTGTAGTAACTAGGAATGGCATTATTTTTATGGCAAATTATCCAGCAATCAGTCCCAGAAATCAAACCCTTTCATCATTTGACAAACATTTTATGGAGGATCTCTTAGTTGTAGACACTGTGAAGAATGCCAGAAAAACAAAGTTAAATAAGATGCAGTCTGTTATACAGATTAACATCCTCACATATCAAATATCAAAAAATAAAAAAGCTAGACTTTGGGGGCTGGCCCAGTGGCGTAGTGGTTAAGTTCACATGTACTACTTCAGCGTCCCAGTGTTGGCAGGTTTGGATCCCAGGCACATACCTGCGCACCACTCATCAAGCCATGCTGTGGCAGCATCCCTCATGCAAAATGGAGGAAGATTGTCACAGATGTTATCTCAGCAACAATCTTCCTCAAGCAAACAGAGGAAGATTGGCAACGGATGTTAGCTCAGGGCCAATCTTCCTCACCTGAAAAAAAGCTAGGCTTGAATAAATTGGGAAAGAACATAAACTCTCTATTTTTCTGTTGTTTACAGTCATGATCATGCATTTCAACTAGTGCACGTGTTTGCCTCCCATCCAAATATAATTTAACTCTGTGCTACCAAGTACTTGTGATTCTTAACCAGATACAAGAAGTTGGAGAACAGAGAGAGGGACGCCAGCTGGAATATCTGTCAAATAGGGGGAAGTCAATGCAGATTTTACAAGTTATAGGCCATAAAATGTTTTTAAAACTTTTGTGATTTTTGGCAAATAAAGATGTGAAGTTTTATTGGAGAGATTGACTTAAACACTCAGAATTGACTCATTTTTTTCTGTCTTCTCTCTTCAGCTAAATTCCGTCCAACAGTTAATAAATCAGTGGAGGAACAGGGTAAATGAATTGAAAAGTCTAAATACATCAACTAAAATAGCTTTGGTGAGTATTGGAGAGTTTTCTGCAAGGAAGTGTCTTTTCTGTTGCTTTTTTTACAGAGAATTTCACTTTGGATTTGGAAAGCAAAGCTAGCATTCTCTGTCAAGAGTTGATACACACATTCTCAAGAACTGTATTGTCATTTAGAGTCAAGGTCCTGAAATTGCTTTCTCTCTCTTCCTCAGTCAGAAAAGCACAAATAATTTTGCTTTTCTAAAACTATTCTTAGGGTAAAAATTTTAACTTGATAGTACTAGTTTTGAAAATTGAAAAGTGTTATATAAATTCAAGGATTCCAGGTTATCAGCATTTAAAAAGAAACTGCTTTGGAAAAATGCTATGAATGCACCTTTAGACTAATGTATCCTTTCGTGACTGAAGGACACTTACTCACCGTATGTTCTTTGTCTTATACAGAAATGCCTTTAGGAGCTATATACCCACTTGTTTCCAAAGATATATGATCCTGACTATAGCATATTCATTATCTCTGTCAATAAAGTTATGTCTTTTTTCTTGGAGAGCCCACCCACAACTGGCTTAGCATGTATCACTAGTTCATTCTTTATTCTTTTAATTCATTGTATGGTTATAATGTAATTTGTTTATCCACTTACCTGTTAATGAATATTACACTGAGGGAGAGAAACTAGACAAAAAAAGGTATATGCTTCTGTTTATGTGAAACTCTAGAAAAGACAAACTTCATCTGTAGTGATAGAAAGCTGATGAGTGGTTGCCTGGGGCCAGGGTTTGGAGAGGGTTGACTGGAAAAGGACATAGGGAACTTTTAGGCATGATGGAAGTGTTCTAAGTCCTGATTGTCGTGGTAGTTATAAGTTTGTGAAAACTCACTGAAATATATATATATAATGGATACATCTTATTGTATGTAAATTATACCTCAATAAAGTTGATTTTTTAAATATATTATTGGGGCTTCCAAATGAGAGAAATTATATCTGCTTGAGTTGATTAGGAACAGCTTCTTGGAGGTAAGTGAAAAGTTCCTTGAAAGGGAGATTAAGATTTTAGTAAGCAGAGGTGAAGACATTTCTACAGCAGGAAATAGCAAAAGCATAAAGTATTTTCGGAGAATAGGAAATGTTTAAGAGATTATGGTGATAATCTTTTAATAACGTAATTGTGAATCAGCTTCAGTTCAAGCATTAGAGTAAGTAGACTGTGTAGCCTCTAAAGGTCCCTCACCTAATATCTAGATTTCTCTCTTTTTTTTTTTCCCTCCCCAAAGCCCCAGTACATAGTTGTATATATGCTAGTTATAAGTGATTCTAATTCTTCTGTGTGAGCTGCCACCGCAACATGGCAACAGACAAGACAGGTGGTGTGGTTCCACGACCAGGAAGTGAACCTGGACCGCCAAAGCAGTGAGCACCAAACTTTAAGCCCTAGGCCATCAGGGCTGGCTCTAGATTTCTTGATAAATGCAGATCAACCTGTATACACTGAAATGTATTATTAAAAATATTTTTCTGATTTTAATGTGTTCACGGAAGAAATTTAGAAAATATTTAAAAAGCATAAATAAAATTAAAATCACCCAATCACTCTTGATTTATTGAGATTGGTCCATTTTTTCTATACATATACATATTGTGGGCATTTTTCTATGTCAAACCTTTAACTTCACTTTTTTTTTTTAGAAGATTGGCACCTGAGCTGACAGCTGTTGTCAATCTTCTTTTTTTAATTTTTTCCCTTCTTCTTCTCTGCAAAGCCCCCCAGTACATAGTTGTATGTTCTAGTTGTAGGTCCTTCTAGTTGTGGCATGTGGGACGCTGCCTCAGCATGGCTTGATGAGCGGTGCCATGTCCACGCCCAGGATCCAAACCAGTGAAACCCTGGGCCACTGAAGCGGAGCGCATGAACTTAACCCTTGGCCATGGGGCCAGCCCTTAACTTCACATTTTTAAGTGCGCATTTTAAAAATTGAATTTATCTATAAAGTGTATAGAAAAGGTGCTTGAGAATTATTCTTCAAGTACTTTATTATTTGCCTACTTTTTTTTATAGCTCTCCGAGGTAAAGGATGGAGTAAATCAAGCAGCACCTACATTTGGATTTGGCAGTAGGCAAGCAGTAACATTTGGGTCACCAGGTAAGTGATTAAAGTAGTACAGGACTTCACTGATTTAGAAAAATAGGATTTTATAGGTTTCAAATCATAAAGCCCAAAGGTATGGTAAGTGCCATTTTAAATTCGACCACCTTCCGTAATGAAGCTTCGGAGAATTTGGCTCATCAAGCATTTGTGAAATGGTGGCCAGAAGGGGCATGTTCTTTGAAAGATGATATGGCTCAGGCTTTTCAAGTATATTTTAGGAATGATTTTTCAAGAGTTTCATAGGAATACGTAGCCATGGGAGCAGCACCTCTAAGGACTTTCTTGTCACTGTGTTTAACAGCATAGTATTGTCCTCAGATGACAGCTTCGGTGTGACCAGGGGGGCTGAAAGTAAAAGTCCGCTCCCTAATCCCTGACTTTTCTCCAGCTGCCTCCTTGAGAGCAGAAAAATCACCGTGCAGGTGAGATCCGTACAGCAGCAAGGCAGGGCAGCCGGGTTTAGTGGTGTATTCTAGCTTCTCAGTTTCACTTTTCTCTTCTTCCTTCCAATAAGCTTCTCAACATCAAAACATGGCAGAAATAAGAAAAAAAGGGGCGGGGGGCGGAATATGGCTCCATTTTCTGACTATAATAGATTATTTTTTTCTCTTTCTGGTTTTTGTAGGTTTTCCAGTGAATAACAGCAGCAGTGGTAGTGCTCAGAATTTTAGTTTTAAACCAAGCTCTGGATTTGCCACTGCCACTTCTGGAAGCGCTTCTGTGTCCCAGAATACTCCAGCATTTGGAGCTGCACCCTCTGCCAGTTCTGCCATCACTACTTCTACTCCAGCTTTTGGATTTAGAAAACCTGAAATCACATCTGCTGCTTCATTTTCATTTAAAAGCCCTGCAGCTTCTGGTTTTGGATTGCCCGGATTTTCAGGATTTCCAGCTTCCATGGCAGCAGGCCCCGTGGGAGTTCCCGTGGCCCCAGCCTTTGGAAGCAGCAGTTCTGTGGCTGGTTTTGGTGGCGCAGGCTCCCGTTCTCACACTGCTTTTTCCAAGTCATCCGGTGATGCCTTTGGAATTAGCAGCATGTCTGCCTCTCTCCCTGTCTCAAGTGGCAGCACCACCACAGATAATGTGTTATTCACACCCAAGGATCAACTGACAGCAGAAGAACTGGAGCAATTTCAATCCAAGAAATTTACTCTGGGGAGAATTCCATTAAAGCCACCACCTGTGGAACTTCTAAATATTTAAAAGGGCAATTTCAAAAACAGAAAAGAACAGCTTTTAAAATTGTTTTGAGTTGTTCATATAAAAGAGCAGACACATATAGATGTATATCTATGTATATATACACATATATATTTATAATGAATATAAGCTTTCAGTAACAATTTCAGGGGTTTTGAAATTTAACGTTTTTTTCTCAAGCCTAACTATTTAAGTAAAACAACTAAAAATACTCAGCAAGAGATTTTTTTTGCTATAATTATGAATGGAACTGAAAAAACTGAGTGTGCACTGAGTGAAGTACTTTCCTCACTCTACATCATTTTACTGTCTTACCCTTTAAATTTTTACCTTTAAACATTTTTTGGGGGGGGGAATAATTTCTAGAACCATTAAGGGAAAAAAATGCTTAAATATTTAGTCTACTTAATAATTATCAGCGGCATGACATTCATGTTAGAGAATATAATCTCAAAGGAAGAAATAACAGTTTTTAAAGGGTAAACGCTCTCATTTTTAGGACCTAGGAGGCATTTTCCCCTCATAATTTTGTTTCCCCCTCAATTTTCACTATCTCATGGACCACCATTTGAGTTTTCTTCAAAAATTTTAAGCTACTTTTTGTCTTGGCCTAGTTTTTATATAATGCTATTTATTCCTCACATTATCTCATCAAGTGGATGGATTGTAAGAGGAACAGAAATTGTGATCTCATGTGAATAAATAGTGTTTGAAGAGGGGTCAGGATTTACCAGCTCTGTTTCTATAGCTTCTATTAGAATTCTCAGACATATTTAGATTTCCCTGTTCTCAGAGTGAGAAAGTAATATCTTGTACGTCTTGTAGATGGTTGATCCAAGAAACCAAAACCTGTCATGAGTTGAGGCATATGTGTCAAGAGTTCTGTGCTCCTTTCTCAAGCCTCAAAAATTACACAGCCTGCACTATGAGAACAGTTGCCTAACAGATCTGATATTGAGCTGACTTTTTAAAGTGAAAATATAACCTTACCTAATAAAAGATACACACTTCCAATGATTTTAGTACATATGCAAAGGATTCAGTCCTCAGAAGTTCTGGATTCTCTATTACACTTTTTGAACAACTGTACGACTCCAACTACCCCAGCATTTTGGATAGAATCTATACCCAAGGGATATATGTTTGCAACCATCCTAAGTTCCTGCTTTGGTCTCAAGCTCTAAAGACTTTCTGATGTTTGTTCCAACTTACAGTTGACTCCTAGAATTTTGCTACTCCAACGGAATGAGCCCTGTGCTACCTATAGGTTGGTTATATGACAGCCTCCCTTGGGTCCTAAGTGAACTTCCCAGTGTCCTGGAAGCTCTGAGGATGCAGGTTAATGGCCCAGACCTTCTAAACTTGCCTGATTATAAAAAGCATTTTGCTAATGTGGTGTTTTGTATTGATTGATTTTCATATGTTGAACCATTCTTGCATTCCAGGTAGAAATCCTACTTGATTATGGTGTATAATCCTTTTAGCATGCTGTTAAATTCAGTTTACTAGTATTTTCTTGAGAATTTTTGCACTCTTATTCATCGGGAATATTTGTCTGTAGTTTTCTTGTGTCTTTATCTGATTTTGGTATCAGAATAATGTTGGGTTCATAGAATGAGTTTGGAAATATTCCCTCCTCTTCAGTTCTTTGGAAGAATGTGAGGAGGATTGGTGTTAATTCTTTAAATGTTTGGTAGAATCCGTCAGTGAAGTCATCTAGTCCTGGCTGGGAGGTGTTTGATTACTGCTTCCATCTCCTTACTAGTTATAAGTCTGTTCAGACTTTTTATTTCTTTATGATTCAGTCTTGATAGGTTGTATGTTTCTTGGAATGTATCCATTTCTTCTAGGTTATCCAATTTGTTAGTATATAATTGTTCATAGTAATCTCTTAAGATCCTTTTTATTTCTGTGACATCAGTTGTAATATCTGCTTTTTCAATTTTAATTTTAACTATTTGAGTCTTCTATCTCTTTTTCTTAGTTAGTTCTAACTAAGTGTTTGTCAGTTTTGTTGATCTTTTCAAAAGACCATGTCTTGGTCTGCTCAAGCTGCCATAATAAAATACCATAGACTGGGTGGCCTAAAAACAAACATTTATTTCCCACAGTTCCAGAGACTGGAATCTGAGATCAGGGTGCCAGCATGGTCAGATCTGGTGAGAACCCTCTTCCTTGCTTGCAGACAGCTTCCTTCTTACTGTGTGTTCACATGGTCTTGTCTCGGTGCATAGGCTAGATTCTAAGTGCGTGAGAGAGATTTCTCTTTCTCTTCCTCTTGTAAAGGCATCAATCGTGTCATAAGGTTCTCACCCTGAGGACCTATTCTCAACCTGATTACCTCCCAAAGGCCCCATCTCCAAAGAACCATCGCATTGGTGGTTAGGATTTCAACATTTGAATGGTCGGAGGGGGACAAACATTCAGCCCATAACAAACCAACTCTTGGTTTTGTTGATTTTTTCCCATTATTTTTCTGTTTATTTCATTTACCACTACTCTAATCTTTATTTTTTCTTACCTTCTGCTAAATTTGGGTTTAGTTTGTTCTTCTTCAATTTCCTCAAAGTGTAGTTAGGTTATTGATTTGAGATCTTTTTTTTTTTTTTAAAGATTTTACTTTTCCTTTTTCTCCCCAAAGCCTCCCAGTACATAGTTGTATATTTTGGTTGTGGGTCCTTCTAGTTGTGGCGTGTGGGATGCCACCTCAGCATGGCTTGATGAGCGGTGCTAGGTCTGCACCCAGGATCCGAACCAGTGTAGCCCTGGGCTGCCAAAGCAGAGAGCACAAACTTAACCACTAGGCCACGGTGCTGGCCCCTTTCTTCTTTTTTAGTGTAAGCATTTACCACTGTAAACTTCCCTCTTAGGACAGCTTTTGCTGCATCCTGTAAGTTTTGGTATGTTGTATTTTGTTTTCATTTATCTCTAGATATTTTCTGAATTCCCTTGTGATTTCTTCTTTGACTCATTGGTTGTTTAAGACTGTGTTGTTTAATTTCCACATATTGTGAGTTGTCCTGCTATTGATTTCTAGTTTCATTCTATTGTGGTCAGAGAAGATACTTTGTATGATTTCAGTCTGCTTAAATTTGTTAAGACTTGTTTTGTGGCCTGACACATGGTCTACCTTGGAGAATGTTCATGTGTACTTGAGAAGAATGTGTATTCTGCTATTGTTGGGTGAAGTGTTCTGTACATTAGGTTCAATTAGTTAGGTTCAATTAGTTTATAGTGTTGTTCAAGTCTTCTATTTTTGTATTGATGTTCTGTCTCATGGTTCTATTCATAGCTGAAAGTGGGATATTGCAGTCTCCTACTGTTGTGTTGGTGTCTCTCTCTCCCTTCAATTCTGTCAATGTTTGCTTCGTATATTTGAGAGCTCTAATGTTAGGAGCATGTATATTATAATTGTTATATCTTCCTGGTGAATTGACCCTGTTATCATTATATAATGTCCTCCTTTGTCTCATGTGACAGTTTTTGTCTTAAAAGCCTATTTTGTCTAGGTATGGCTGCCACTACTCTCTTTAGATTCCTGTTTACATGGAATATCTTTTTCCATCCTTTCACTTTTAGCCCATGTGTGTCTTCAGATCTAAAGGGTGTCTCTTGTAGACAGTACATTGGTTGGATCTTGTTTTTATCCATTCAGCCAATCTGTCTTTTAATTGGTGCATTTAATCCATTTACCTTTAAAGTAATAAATGACAGGGAAGGACTTAATATTGCCGTTTTGTTCATTGTTTTTCTGTATATCTTACAGTTTTTTTGTCCCTTTTTTCTTCCTGCTGCCTTATTTTGTGTTTGTTTGTTTGTTTGTTTGTTTGAGGAAGATTAGCCCTGAGCTAACTGCTGCCATTCCTCCTCTTTTCACTGAGGAAGACTGGCCCTGAGCTAACATCCATGCCCATCTTCCTCTACTTGATATGTGGGATGCCTGCCACAGCATGGCTTTTGCCAAGTGGTGCCATGTCCACACCTGGAATCTGAACCAGCGAACCCCGGGCTCCCAAAGCAGAACATGCGCACTTAACCGCTGTGCCACTGGGCTGGCCCCTTATTTTGTGTTTTGTTGATTTTTTTTTTTTGTAGTAACGTATTTTGATTCCCTTCTAATTTCTCTCTGTATATTCTATTCATAGTATCTTTGTGCTGCCATTGCAATTACATAAAACTTCTTAATATTATAACAATCTATTTAAAACTGATACCATCTTAACTTCACCCACATATAAAAGCTCTGCTCCTGTACATCTCTGCCCCCACTTTGTTACTGAGACACAAATTACCTCTTTTTATATCACATGTCCATAGATTAACATAGATTTGTAATTATTTTTTATGCTTTTGTTTTTAAAATTCTATGCCAGGTTTGAAAGTGATGTGTGCACCTACATTACACCACTATCTAATTCTATATTTGTGTATATATTTACCAAAGAGTTTTATATTTTTGTATGGTTTTGGTTGCTGTTTGTCATTCTTCCACTTTGACTTTGACTTCCCTTTGGCACTTTTCTTTTTTATTTCCAGCCAGTTTGTTTTTTATTGACCGTGTAGTGCTTAGGCCTTGACTGCGTACTTCCACAGTGGGTACAGCCATTCCTTTTGCTCCTGCTTCTTGGTCTTCAGGTTCTCCTCATGCTTGCTGAGCCAGCAGCACATGGCACATGTTTTCTTGGGCCACAGTTCCAGGGACTTGTACTTTTTGCCCTCGTAGAATTTCTTGAGGTTCTTTTTCTGAGTCTGGTTAACGACGGTGAGAACAATGGTGATGGATATGTGAGCAACTCAGATCTTAGAGAGCTTGGACACTGCACTGCCTGTCACTTTGGTAACACACAGATGGGACAGCTCTACCTTCAGGTCATTCGGCTGTTTTAGCAACTCCTCCTCCTTCTTGCCTTGAAGGTCTCAAACCTTAATCTTAGTCATGGCTGCACAGGTCAGCACCTCTGCCACCTGCTTTCAGGTAAAGAGCCCATCAGCCTTTCTTTCAGCACAGGTCTAGTTGTGGTGAACTCCCTCAGCTTTTGTTTATCTGGAAAAGTCTTAATTTCTCCTTTGTTTTTGAAGGATAGTTTTGCTAGATATAGTATTGGTTGTAGTTTTTTCTTTCAGTACTTTGAATGTATCATCCTGCTCCCTTCTAGCCTGCAAGGTTTCTGCTGAGAAATCTCTGGTAATCTCATAGAAGCTCCCTTGTACATGACAAGTTACTTTTCTCTTTCTGCTTTCAAGATTCTCCTTGTGAGTTTTGACAGTTTGATTATGATATGTCTTGGTGTAGATTGCTTTAGATTTATCCTAGTTGGAGTCTTTTGAGATTCACAAATTTGTATGTCTGTTTTTATTCTCAGTTTTGGGGAAGTTTGGGGCCATTATTTCTTCAAATAAGCTCTCTGCTCCTTTCTTTCTTCCTTCTTCTTCTTCTGGGACTTATATGTGTAGATGTATGTAGTGCTTGATGGTGTCCCATAAGTCCCTAAGGCTCTCTTCATTTTTCTTCATTCTTTTTTCTGTTTCCTGTTCTGCCTCAGTAATTTTGGAAGTTCTGTCTCTGGGTTCACTGATTCTTCTGCTTGGTCAAGTCTGATATTGAGTCCCTCTAGCAAATTTTTCAGTTCCATTATTTTCATTTCTAGAATTTGTGTTTTGTTCTTCATAGTTTCTATCTCTTTGTTGATATTCTCATTTTGTTCATGCATTATTTTTCTGATTTCATTTAGTTGTTTATCTGTGCTCTCTTTTAATTCATTGAGCATCCTCATGATGGTTACTTTGAATTCCTTGGTAACTCATATGTCTCCATTTCCTTAGGGTTGGTTTCAGGAAATTTAATGTGTTCCTTTAAATGAGCCATGTTTCCTTATTCCTTTGTATGTCTTACTATCTTCTGTTAGGATTTTGGCATTTGAAAAATCAGCTGTCTTTCCCAGACTTTGCAGTCTGGTTTTGTACAGAGGACATTCTCCATTCAGCCCTGCTAGAGATTATGGGGACTTCTCAAGCCTTTTATGGTGATATGTCCTAGCTGGTCTTGTGTAATCTAATTGAAGAAGTCTGCCTATTTCTACTCAGGAGCTCCCCCTCATATGTCTGTGGTACTGTGCTGCTGTGGTCTGTGGTACTGTACCACTCTCCATAGTACTGGAGCGCCACCTAGTGTCTGTCTGTGGTGCTGCAGACTCTGGTATATATTGGTCACTTTTGTTCTCAGAGGCCAAGCTCCCAACCTGGCTCCTGTTTCTTGTCAGTGCTTGGATTCACACAAGATAGGAACCAGTCCCTTGGGCAGTCCACCCAGAAATTGGGTGTTGGACATCCATTCTACTCTTTTCCTCCCCAGAGAGAAGATGGGAATTGGGTATTTCCTCCTAATCACACC